CGCGATCGGCCTGGGCAACGTGCCCTGGATGCAGAGCGAGCTGTTTTCTCTTGGAGTACGCTCAGTGGGGAGCGGTATCTCAACGGCTACCAACTGGGGCGCCAATTTCGTGATCGGACTGACGTTCCTGCTCCTGATGGACGTCCTCACTCCGACATGGACTTTTGTGTTGTATGCTATCATATGTGGCATCGGGTATGGCTTGATCTGGCGGGTCTACCCGGAGACTGCAGGGTTGACTCTAGAAGATGCGGCGACGCTTCTAGAAGATGACAACTGGGGCGTTCGCTAAAGGGTGACATTTTCTTTCCTTCTATAGTCTATAGTACACTTGTATTTTCCGATGATATTTTTTGCACCATTCATACCTGACTCGGCTATTGAAGGCTTTTCTCGGAATCGATGGCGAGGCTAAAAAAATTTATTACAGGAAGTTTTCTCTGATCTCGAAACCGGAAGCGGAAAGAGCTGTGAAGTTTGGGCATTAATCCGTCTTTATAGCGTCTATATTGCCACACCTTTATGTTTGTACTAATATAGTAACAGATCAAATACACCGCCTATAAAATCGTCCGTACACACTACTACTACTACTACTACTACTACCACTACCACTACTAACTATCAAGACTTATTAGACTATACTAATACTAGTATAAGCTATAGGCGTATAGGAAAGTAAGATGTAGAAATCCCTTATAGTAATAGGGACTTCCTCCCTTTTAATAATAAATAACTAAGCCCTTAGGTAAATATATATATATCTACTCTTTAATATATAATATATTCTCTTCTACTCTTTAATAAACTTTAGTTCTTTTAGTACTTTTAGTTAAAAGATAGTTAAGTAGCTAATTATTAATCTTAATCTATATTAAGATAAAATTATATAATAAAACTATATTAAGGTTTTATATACTAAAATACTTATTTAGTTATAAGAAAAAGATATTATTATATTTAAATAAATACTTTAGAACTACTTTAATAAATAAAAGAAACTAGGATAAGAGGATTATACTATAGTTATTTAAATATAAGGAGTGGGTTATTAAATAATTAGAAAAAGGTCTAACTTATAAAGTAATTATCAAAAATCTAGAAAAAGACTTAGACTTTTAAATATTATAAAGAACTTTTACTAGAATTCTAAACTAATATAGTCTTTTTTAACTAAAGATCCTTAATAAAGAGTATATACTTAAAGTAGTAGAGTTATACTTCTTTATATATAGTTATAATAATAAAAGTATTTATTAAAAACTTTAAAGGTATAAAATAGTTATATTTTTATAAATACTTTAAGACTTCTAACTCTATAATAGATTAAAATAATAATATTATTTAGCTAAAGAAAGAAATAATATTTTTTATAAAGTGATAGTTTTTATAGAAGTTAATTTCTAGTAAATGTTAGTTATTTTAGACTTTAAAAGAAATCTACTCTATTAATATATTTAGTTTTATAATAGTATTTTGATTAAGAAGAATAGACTTTATAACTAGTATAAAGAAAAGTTCCTAAATAAAGTTAAGTATTAGTAAGTTAGTAACTAGACTTATTAAAGGAATTTTAAAGTCCTTAGTCTAAACTTCTTATAGTATTTTAATAAATATAAGAAGTTGAAAATATATAACTTTTAAGTCTATATTTATATTAATATCTATTTTAAATATATTATTTAAGTATATATTAGTCTATTACTAATAATAGTAATAAATATATTAAAATAGTATTTTTATATAGTTTTAAATAATAGAATATAACTATTCTTTATAAGATCTAATTATAGAAAAGAAATAATACTCTAAGTAACTACTTAAATAAGTTTAGTTAATAGTACTAAAATAGTAGTAGAGATTGTAGATAATAAAAATAACTATTATATTTATTATTAAAGGCTTAATATTTAGTCTTACCATATATATAATACTAGTATAGAGATTATCAGGATTAAATCCTAGTTTTAATATTTATATAGTACAGTATTAAATAAATAAATTATAAGTTATTTATTCTGTATAAATATTAGAAGAAGAGAAGGAGTAGTCTACTAGTTCTTTCTATTAAACTTATTTTAAAGACCTTATAGATTTTGGTTATTTTATAAAAGACTATTTATTTAATTAAATTACTATATATACTATATATATTAATATAATTAGAATAGAACTTACTATATTTACTAGTTTCTAGAATAGTTATAAAATCTACTTTTAGTTTAGTTAATTATATATTAATACTAATATCTCTTAAAACTTTTATAAGACTAATAAAGTTAAGAATTAAAGAGTTAATGTCACGATATGTATATAACCCTTGATTTCAAGTCGGCGTTCGACTTGAAATTCTACATCCTTTTGAAGAAACGGGGTCCGTAGCCTAGTGGTAGGGTTCTAGACTAGTGGATTCGTCACAATTTCAAGTCAAACGGCCACGGTTCGAGCCCCTGAGTTGGAAAATGATGTGTTCTTTTCGGTTGTTCCTATACATACGGATGTGACCTGATCCCGCCAGACCCCCGCACTAGTTGCTCGCTAGCCCACGAAGGGCTAGAGTTCGGGGACGAACTCTGGATTGAAACGGGGGATGTCACGATATGTATATAACCCTTGATTTCAAGTCGGCGTTCGACTTGAAATTCTACATCCTTTTGAAGAAAGGGGGTCCGTAGCCTAGTGGTAGGGTTCTAGACTAGTGGATTCGTCACAGTTAATATTAAACTTAATTTATAAAACGTAACTCTTCTTTATAAGCTATATAAACCTTTAAAGGATATTAAAATTAATAAGTTTATAAATTAGTAAACTAGAAGCTAATATATAGGAAAAACAACTAAGTTAGATTTTAACTCTTATTTATTACAAACTTTAGAAACTATTATTGTGACGGGCTGGGCCCTGTGAGGGCCTCGGCAACCCTCGGCCGTGGCACCGAGAATGGTGGGGCTCTGCCCCACCAGCGACCCTTGATGAAGCTATTCCCACCCTGTGCGTCGAAGTCTCCAGAACCTTCTATCCCTCTCTAATCGAACTGACACCATCATGTATATAGGATGGGCGAAGTCCATCAGACCTCTTTTCTCGTCTCTTCTTTCTCCTTCAAGTTTCGCGTTTTCGTTGTGAACGCTTAGCTAGTTGCAATACACTACCTTAGCACATTACAATTATTATCTTTACTTTAAAACTTATAAATAAATATATAAGATTATAAAAGAATATATTAAAAGTAATTAAGTACTACTACTCTTTATTATCTAGTTACTAGTTAAGAAAGTAGAATATTATATGAGTATTAAGTTCTTTATTTTATTTTTTATATCTTAAATATCTTTTCCAATATTAATTTAATTTAAAAAGAGCTTCTTTAAAGAAATTATACTAGTTTTAGTTATTAAGCTAAATGGCTTAAAAATGATCTATTACTATAAGAAATAAGGAATAAAATAGATAAGAATAATATTAAAAGTAGTTAGAGAGATATATATAAGTAAAGACTATATTAAATAAAGAATATTTAGATTATTTAAGGATATGAAATATTAGTATTAAATTAAAATAGACTTTAGAGATTTAATTATTTTATTAAGACTATAAACTAATAACGTTACTAGTTTTAAAGTATGTATTAAAGTAATTAATATAATATTAACTAACTAGTAAATATTAAGTCTTATTAGCTCTTTATTCTTAAGATAGGGCTTAGAATCGTTAATAATAATTACTAATAACTACTACTATTAAGAAATTTAGTAATAAAATATAGAGGAAATACTAAGAAAGAATCGTAAGCTATATTTATTTTACTAATTTAGCCCTTTCTATAGCTAATAATTAAAATAGTATAAATATCTTAATAGCTAGTAATTAAAACTATATATATATCCTAGTAAAAGTGACGGCAAGTGGCTGGCGGCTGGCCGGCTCGGCAATGTGGGGCTTATCACGTCATGGCTTATCGATTAACCCACTTACCCTACCACCACTTTCTGCCGTATTCACCGCCTTCGGTACGTACTACAACAACGCGCGATCTTCGCGTTGCTTGATTCTTTCCCCTTTCTTCTTCAACTTAGAATAACTACAATACAGTAGGGCTATTAGCAGCTTTGTCTCTTATTTGCCTGCTCGCCGTGACTGTAAATATATCTTTTAAACTATATAGTTATTAATATTAAAGAATAATACTAGTATAATAGTTAAAGCTAATTAATATAAGAAATAAGAGAAATAAGCTAAGTTAAAAGTAGATAGTAGTCTAGTTTCTACTTAGTTAATAAGCTCTTTAATTACTTAGAAAATAAGAGAAATAGATTAAGTTAAGAGTAAATAGTATTCTAGCTCCTACTTAGTTAGTAAGTCCTTTAACTACTAGAGAGTCTTAATAGTAATCTTTTTAAAGCTAATATAATTCATATCTGCTAAGGAGTTTTAATAGTAATCTTTTTAAAACTAATATAATTCCTATATACTAAAATAATAAAAACCTACTTTAAATGTACTTCTTTTTAAACTAACTAACCTAATTATTAAAACTACCTACTAGTCCTTATAAAGGTAATACTTGTGACGATTTGGGAATCTAGAACCACACCACTAGGTCAAACCTCCTTAAAAGGGATGCCAAATTCTAAGCTGCAAGCTAGCCTTAGAATTGTGTGTTATATAGCAGTTTCAATAGGGCACTATCGCTTGTGTTATCACGGCTCACCATGACAATACTTAAACTTAGCTAAAGCTAAAGAATAAATAGAAACTTAAGAGTAAGGATAAGGATAAGAATACTATTAAGAAGCCTATTCCTACTATTATTCTAATGAATATTACTACTAATCTACTAGTTTAAGCCTACCCTAAATACTATTAACGATTTAAATATAGATATATAAAATAGAGGTAGTAGTATAAGTATAATAGTTATAGTCTATAAGAGAGTCTAGTTGTCACGATATGTATATAACACATCCGTATGTATAGGAACAACCGAAAAAAACACATCATTTTCCAACTCACGGGCTCGAACCGTGGCCGTTTGACTTGAAATTGTGACGAATCCACTAGTCTAGAACCCTACCATTAGGCTACAGACCCCCTTTCTTCAAAAGGATATAGAATTTCAAGTCGAACGCCGACTTGAAATCAAGGGTTATATACATATCGTGATACTAGTAGATAGTATAATTATGGTAGACTAAGTATATAAGAGTAATGGCGGTGTGCTGAATGAGTATATAACCATTGAATTGCAGAAGGTTCTGATAACCTCTGTAATTTGAGCTCCTTTTTAGGAACGGTTTGGCCGAGTGGTATGGTTCTTGGAGCTCGCCGTCACTATAAGAGAGCTAGTATTTATCTATTATATAGAATATATTTATTGTAACGCCAGTGACATACTGTGAGGATCGTATAGAGGAACAACCACCCTATACACCCTCATACGTACTATACATACCATTTACTTGATTGGATCTTCCAATCAAGTCTAGTTGCTCTTTTGGGCTATGTTACGTAGTGGTGTGGTATGTCACGATCGTTACATCCACCAGACCAACGGTGTTGGCCTGCTTCCTGCGGTGTTCGCATGCCTAGCTTACAGCGTATAAGCTACATGCCTGGCATTACTTTAACATATTACTATATATTTTTCTAGATGTGACGATTGTATGCAGAACAACCACTGTATACGTCGTCAGACAAACTATACATACCAATACTAGTAGCGGTTCTTCCGTTCTAGTATCGTGCTCTTTTGAGGGCTTGTGGCACAATGGTTTGGTATGTCGCTGTCGTTACAATAGAGAACTAGGCTAATTCTATATTAAATAAGAATAAGTTAGGACTTAGAAGAAATACCTAATATAAATATACTTATAATATATAAGTTAATTAACTATATAAACTTTCTTAACTTTATTAGCTTAATACTATAGTTTTCTACTCTTATAGAGTAAATATAAGTATTTCTAGTATTATAAACTTATTAATAAAGCTATATATAGTTAAAGCAAGCTAGTTATTAGTAGTCTAGATAATATTAATAATGTTGATATTTAATAGTAGTGGTGGTAGTGGTGTATATAGACGATTTTATAGGCGGTGTATTTGAATTATTACTACATTAGCACAAACGTAAGGGTGTGGTACCATATGCGTTAGGAACAAGGCGAAGCCAAGCTTTGCTAGGAGCCTCGGCATCCACAATTTTGGCATGGCGATAATGACGGATGAATGTCTGAGGCTCTGAGCCGGGTGAGCCCACCAACCGCTGCATCGGCTGGGAAGGGGTACAAAAACGGCTGCCAGATGTTGATACTTGTGCATGCGGCTCAAGCTGAGCTCGGAATTTTGACAGGATGACCTGACCTTTTGACCGATACCAGCTCTGTATTTTTCTTTTCGTTTCATTTCTATTTCAAACAAGGTGGAAGGGTCGGTCCTGTCAGAATCCGTAGTAAGAAGTTAATCCTCCTCGCGACTTCGGGTCGATGTTTTCCGTCGTTAAATTTGTCAGCGTCCCTCCGCTGTGGGTTGACTCAGTAAGGCAATGACTACCGGTACACCTGCATGAGCTGGTTTCCCCGTTCAATTACACGGTCAGCATTCCGCACTTTGTTTCCACGCCTCACGTTAATCCGTCCAAAATTAACTGCCTCGGCTTCCATATGGCGCAGGAACTCGCCGTCCTTTTTTCTCTATTCCCCGAATCAAAGAGCTGGTTCGGGTAGTGTCTCCAAGCAAGTGATGGGGGATGAGTAATCCCGCCTGCCGCCCCCAAAGAGCGACAGGAAAATGCAAAGTCAACTCGACATGGGTGATCCTACATCATCGGTTTTTGCTACCCCACCCGCTCCACAGCAAGTTTCGCCATTCTAGCTCTCGATGGGCCGTTTCGACCCTTTTCGCGGTCCACCGTGAGAACTCGGGTTATTGTTGGTGGCCGCTTGCGATTGATTCTCTCATGAGATGTCCTACGGAGTAAAAGAGAGAAATTATATGTTGGAAGAGCACCCTCGGCTTAAAGATTCCATGTTGGCGGCTCAGCTGGAGCTTATGAGATCATAGCTAAACGGCGGGCTTCCGCCGGGATTTCAGTACGGGTCCCGCCTCTGCATACGCAGTAACGTCCACCCGGCGAGGACATGCTTAATTCCGGAGGCCAAGAAAGATGCCGATTTCCCATGCCATCCAGGCAATGCCATGCCAATCCACAGTCAAGTCCACGCATGGAGCTAGGCCTCTCCGAACCCAACACTGCTAGGAGTACCTCGAATTAACTCGATGGTAGTGGTACCACCATATTATGCCGATGTGATACATTGCTGATTACAAGTCCCGTCGGCCTCCGTCTCCATCGATCTTCTTTACGGGTGCTCCGTTCTTCTTGATCTTTCTTCGATCCTCCCTGTAAATTTTCTTTTAGTCCCCTCCAGCCAAGACAAGGATCACCAGGTTCGTGGACGTCATTATCATCCCTGATAAGATCGTGTTTATTTTTTTATAGAAAGGGGCAAGGAGTCAAGTTACAAATATACAAACATTGCCCCTCCTGCCCTTTAAAACATCTCCCGCCCGTTCGTTCCTTCTACTTGGACATACCCTGCTATCTTTTGTTTATATACACGGATACGATACTCGCTGGGTCCTTCTACCTCTACCCAACAACCGTTCCTTTCTTACCCCCCTGGTTCGCCTCAAGTAGTGTATACTCAGGGCAGCCAACATCGGACGTTTATATCTTTCCCGGGGCTGTTTCGATTTGCGAAATCGGCCTGCTCAAAGAAGAGCGCAACCAAACAATATCAACCACCGACACTGGCCAGAAACACATCCATCGGCGCCATGGGCTTAGACGAGGTGGATCGAGAGCTCGAAAGAGCCGAACAAGATGCGTCCCCTCATGGGCGGCCGTTTCACGGTCGACGTAGCGAGGAGATCGAGCGGGTCATCTCGGCGTCTTCAGTGTCGACATCGTCCTCGGAGGGCGCGCCGTCGCGGAGAGGCCTCGGCATGAGCAGGATATCCACACAGCGCGACCTCGAGCGCCATCCCACCGAGCTCAGTCGCATCCACACTCAGAGAAGCCAGCACAGCAGCACCGTCGGGAGGGGCCCCAAGAGCCGAGAGTCCAGGAAGCCGCTGCCCGAGTTCGGTGCCGGAAAGCCATACCCGCCTCTCTTACCAGACCAGGAAGAATACGTGGTGGAGTTTGACGGTCCCGATGATCCCTTGCACGCGCAAAACTGGCCGCTGAAAAAGAAACTCCTCACGGCCGCCGTGTTGGGCTTCACAACCATGACATCGGCCTTTGGATCCAGTATCTTCTCAGCCGCGACCCGGATCATCGCCCGCGAGTACAACGTCTCCATAACAGTAGGCGTCCTCGGCGTCTCGTTATACGTCCTGGGTTTCGCCTTCGGGCCGACCCTCTGGGCTCCGTTATCTGAGCTGAAAGGGCGCAGACTGCCCCTAGTCCTGGCAACCTTTGGATTCTCCATATTCAACATCGCCAACGCGACAGCCAAGGACCTCCAGACAATCCTCATCACGCGCTTCTTCGCCGGCTTCTTCGGAGCCTGCCCTCTAGCAGTCGTCGCGGCCGTTTTCTCCGACATGTTCGACAACCGAACCCGAGGAATAGCCATCACCGTATTCTCCATGACCGTCTTCACGGGACCCCTCCTGGCCCCGTTTATCGGTGGCTTCATCGTGGAATCACACCTAGGCTGGCGGTGGACCTCGTACATCGTGTCCATCATGGGCTTCCTCTCGTTCGGCCTCTGCCTGCTCTTCCTCGAGGAGACCTACCCGCCCGTCATCCTCGTAGCGAAGGCGTCAGAGCTGCGCCGCCGCACGCTGAACTGGGGCATCCACGCCAAGCAGGAGGAAATCGAGGTGGACTTTAGGGAACTCGTCAGCAAGAACTTTTCCCGTCCCATGAGGATGTTATTCGGCGAGCCAATCATTGCCTCCTTGTCGGTATACATGGCCTTCATCTATGGGCTGTTGTATCTCTTCTTGACGGCGTATCCCATGGTGTTCCAGGGCGTGTACGGCTGGTCGGCCGGCGTTTCCGGTCTTGCCTTCTTTGGCATGATAACGGGCCAGATCATCGCCGGGATCACTGTTCTGATGCAGCAGCCTTGGTACCAGCGCAAGCTGGCCGCCAACAATGGGATGCCGATCCCCGAGTGGCGTCTTCCCAGCGTTATTGCTGGCGGAGCGTCCTTCGCCGCCGGTTTGTTTTGGTTCGGATGGGGAGGCTACCGGGCTGATGTGCACTGGATCGTGCCTGTGCTCTCGGGCTTGCTGTCGGGCTTCGGTCTGCTCTCCATCTTTTTGCAGGCGCTGAATTATCTCGTTGATTCTTATCTCATGTTGTAAGTTCTCTCGCCTTTTCACTCATCGCCGTGGCTCATTGAGTAGTAATACTTGTACTAACAATCTTTTCTTATATAGCGCCGCCTCAGCCATCGCAGGAAATACCTTCCTCCGCTCCCTCGCCGGCGCGGGGTTCCCGCTCTTCTCGACATATATGTACGACGCCATGGGCATCCAATGGGCCTCGACCTTGCTCGGCTGTGTCGCCGCAGCGTTGGTCCCTATCCCCGTGTTGTTTTATCTTTACGGTCATAAGCTGCGCGCGAAGAGCACGTTTGCGCCTACCCCGCCATCGATGATGCCAGGTGGAGCAGCTGACGAGGTCGCCGGGCTCGAGAAGGAGGAGAGTACAAGTGGTGGAAGTGGAAGTGGAAATGTCGGCAACGGTGTTGCTTCTGCTGGTGCTTCGGGCGGGTATATACCGCGCAAGACTGAGGATTCCAAGGTGTAGTGCTATGGATCTGGTCAGCATGTTTGGATGATATCTTATGATATCTTGTTGATGTATGTGTTCTTGTGGGATCGAGTGAGATAGGGGGTGGTCGCGGTGGCGCGTCGAGTGGTTGCTTTGATTGATTGTCTTTTCTGTTGGTTTATTCCGTACTAATACCCCTTTTTTTATTGTTTCATAGTTGTAATGTATAAAGCGTACTTCCCCTTGGGGGGCAGAAAATAATAACATTGCAGTTCTTTTAATGCACTAGTGAGTT